GGGGGGGGGGGGGGGGCAAGTGCCTCCTTCCCCCCCCCCTGCGGGCGCCCATGCACAAGACAAGACCTTCTCTAACAAGCATATCTTAAAACAAGGCCAATGGTACATTTTTGCCGCGGTGTACCCAGGCCAAAGCCCACGATTTCGCTAGATACACCACTGCGGTTTACGCAGCCCAAAGCCGATGGTTTCGCTAGGTACACCGCTGCGGTGTATGCATCCACTTCGTTAAATTTTTGGTTTGGGCTTAGACTTAGACACTTACGACTTAGGTCTAAACTCTAAGTCTAAGTCTAGGTGATAAGTTAACTCGTAAAAAAAAAAAATAACAGCTAGACCCTATTGAATTTTTAAAATACCAACTTTGTACTGAAAATATTTTAAGGTCGTCTATGGAAAGGTAGATGACTTTAACTTAAACCTAAATGGTCTAATTTTTCCAGACTTATGTTGAAAATAGCAACCACAAAGTAAGAGAAAAGTGACATTTTTTTCGAACATAAAATACAGAAGAGCTCCAATAGCAAATGACCAGGCGTCTTCAGAAAGTGACAGTTTAAGATTGAAATACGATTTAAATTTGTTTAAAAAATAAATAGGAATAATTTTTGGTGATATTTTGGTGAAATCAAAATTAAAAACTATCATTTTATGTTCTAAATGATTTAAAAATTCTTAATAAAAGCATATACATCTCAAATTAACAGATTACTTTAGAATGTCCTTTTGGCAACCTTTGACAAGATTTTTTACCGCAATAAACTGTTAATCTGTTAATGTAGAATATTATTACAGAGCATGCGTATTAAAAACAAACACAATGAAAGACTTAAATAACAGTGATATACCAGAATCTCTTTCTGTGTTGAGAGAAATAAAAAAGGCAAGCGGTGAATGTCTTCAACATGTACGTAGCCTTATCTCTAAGGTTAAAAATACGCCCCAGAAATTGCGGTCTCAGGTTAGTATATTATAAAAATGTTGTCCACTGAACTGGTCCGGACCTACTCAGCCCATTCTTCATTATTTGTCATTACTTCATACTTCATCTCCACTCTTCTTAGTCTCTTCTTGATTCTTAGTCTCTTACTTAGTAATCTTAGCAATATTACTTTAACTTTATTAGGCCTTCTTAGTATGCCATATTAATCTATAGTATACCTTATAATATATTATTACTAAGTTTTGAAGACTAGGGTATAGTAAAGGGCAAAGGGAGGTAGTTTATAAAATGGGGACGCCTGCCACTTTTTTTATCAAATTTCAAGAATGTATCCCTAAATCGATCCCTATGCCTAACCTGAACCCCAAATCGATCCCTATGCCTAACCTGAACCCTAAATCGATCCCTATGCCTAATCTGAACCCTAAATCGATCCCTAAACCTAACCTAAACCCTAATTCACTGCAACTATAATAAAGTTAAAGACACAAAAGACGCTGTGGCAGCCATCCTCGGTTTTAACCGGGAGGTAATTGGCTCCATGGGGTATTAAGCCCTAATTGCTCAGTTCATACAATAAAATGCTTGATATTATTGTAAGAAGAGAGAAAGGTACTAAACTTTAGTTGACAGAAACTTACTAACCAATCAGAGAACTTTTCACAAAGATTCTTGGGTTTCTAACCTATGGGATTGATTTTTAATTTGCCTTTTTAGATGAGTGCTTTCCCCCTCTAGTTTTCAGCCTTCTTCAAACCCTTTGTAAAACTTCAGCTAAGAGGGTGCTTGTTTATTTTTACTCAAAATTTTATTTCTACAGTGAAAGTTTTTTAGTTTACATACAAAAACAAGTACTTGTTGTACTTTTTTTTTAGTTTTAACTATATGTGTATGTAATGAATGAGTTAAAATACTGACTGATAATTGTAGAGCAAATGAAGATCGTCATTTTTGCAAAGTAAAATGGCAGTTGGATGAATGATTTAGAGATTGTTTATAAAAAGCTTTAAAATTCACTTTAATACTAAAGCACCTTCTAATATTTTGAATAGGAAGCATTTATAGTAAAAGAGATATGGTTCTGTAGATTATTTATTTAATAATTAGTTTATAAAAATGAATATTTTAAATAGCAGGGGCTTAACACCCCCAACTGTTAAAAGATGATTAAACAACCAAATAATATTGATTAGATTAATAAAATCCATGTTTTAATTCAAATAGCATTAAACAGATTATGACAGATAAAGTTTAAATTGAAAACAAAAGTTATTAATTTGTAGAAATAGGTTTAAAAAAATTTTAAATATAGTTTTGATAATGAAATCCCAGAAAAATCTGATATTAAAGCCATGGAATGGATCTGTCACAATTGCCTACAATCTATGTGAAAATATATGCATTGAACATGCTGGAGCTAATTGCCCCCATTTTGTTAAATTTAAGTCATAATTAGTTTTAACTTTTAAACCTTTTTTTCACTATATAGCTTTAAATTTTGCTCATTAAAGCTTTTGTACTTCAAGAAAGATGTGTGGTCTGTTATTTAAAAAAATTTTAAGTTTGAATTTAATAATATTATATTCATTTATTTCAAAGAGAAAAACAAAAAGTTCTTGAAAACATGGTGCTTAATGCCCTCCATTACCCTACACTACACTAACTTAGTGACTAAGTTGCTGACGGTTGAGAAGAGGAGAGACTAAATTAAGTACTGAAACTAGTTACACTAGTCACTAATTCAGTAGTTAACTAGGCCTATAATTTATTATATTTATTATGTAATAAAAAGTTATTTTATTGCTTCATAATATAAGCCCCTACATTTTATTACAAAAGTTCAACAGATAATCATAGTAATCTACCACTTCAGCGTCGGTGATGAAAAAAATTGTGTTGTTCTGGTTTGATGTGCTATTTAATTTAATTTAAACGGTTATGTTGGCTATTGTATAATTAATAAGATAAATTTCCTTTTATTGATCCAAATAGATGGATTTTTTTTTTTATGACATGACATTTTACATATTCATTTCAGTTTCAGCACGTATATAAATAATTCAAGACAACATTTTTTTAAATTTAAACAATTAACTATTTTTATAAATAAAAATAGAGATTAAGCATAGTTCCCCCCCCCCCCCCCCGTCAAGGTAACAATGACGTTTTTAAAAATATTATCTCCACTTAAATGGTTGTGGAACATGAATTTATGAAAATCGGAAGGTGAAAGATCGTGACTTATGCCAAACTGTCTTTTCTGCTTACCATTTTCGCGCATCTACATGTTTTCAACATTCTGTTTGTGGAAACAACGTCATTTTTATCAACAAAAAATTTGTTGATGGACCACAACTAAGTGTTCGTATATTAATATTTCAACTGAGTGTTCGTATATTAATATTTCATGTCTGATCTGGTTTATGTTGTCATAAGCTGTTTATCTGTCTGATACAAATCATGAGCCTCTAACTCTACGTATATATCTCTCTGTGCACTCATGTAATGTGATTGCATGTTTGTCTGGCACTTCAATGAGCAAACAGTGCCCACTCTCTCTTTTTATGCCATTGAAAGTCCAGTCATCCTCTCTCCATTGTACTATTATCAGTCATGAATAAAAGAATAAGCATTTAAATAGCACTTCAAACTGGAAAAACAGGATTTTTTCATAACCGATGCTCAAGTGGTTGATAACCCAACAGTTTAACTCCATTAACTAGAACAGTAAATTTATGCTGTCCACGCCACTAATTTTTCTGTGCTTCGCACTTCTTTTTTTTTTACATAGCTGCCATCTTTCTAGCAATAATTGCAACATAGATGATGGCCTCTTCATGAAAAGTAGTGCAGAAACATGGGGTCCAAACTGGGGAAGGGAAGGGAGAGAATGTACTTTAGCCACTTACTGAGACACATTAAAATAAGGAAAATGATGAGAATGTGTCATTTTTTAAATAATGTTTTTTTATGAAATTTTTTTATACTTGCAAGAAAAAAAGTTAAAAATTATAAAATCATGCTAATTGAATAAAATAATTGTATGAAATTTATGTGTAGGAAAACCTTCAAACCTGAAACTCTACCTAATCTGGACACTAAATGACCCCAGCGCAAAATCAGTGGCCCTAACTTAAGTGCAAATCTTCAAACCTAAAATCAGTCTCCCTAACTGAAAGTACATCTTAAAAAAAACATAAAATCAAGTGTTCATGTGCTCCAGTTACTCATTGTAATGAGATAATCTTTAATTTTAATCAATAGATAACAATTATATTTAAAATATTCAAAATAATGAAACCCCAACAAACAGCTTCATCGAATACACTTTACAAAATCTATTAACCTCATATATACTCACTTGAAATATTAATTGAAAAATGCATTCCGTAGGTGTATTAATGTTAAAATAGAGAAAAGTTAACTCTAGTAACTCTAGTTATCTCCTTGAATAAACAAAGTGAAGTCATATAAACTCAAGGTGGCACATTAAGCATAAATTAGCCATTCAACCTAGTTAGCTTAGTACTATGGCAGCTGGTAGCCTAACACTTGGAATTGTTTTTTTGTAAGTTAAGTCACCATTTACAATTTCCATGCACTGTACAATAGACTGAGTCATAGTACGATAGTACTGCACTAGAGTAGTGTACCTATAAACTCACTGTGCTGAACTAAAAAAGTGAATTGTGTCACTCACTCATTGGTAGTGACAGTAATAAAGATTCTTCTATAAAGTGGGTGATGAGCCTAAAAACAATTGGGAACCACTTATGATCCACTAACTAAATTAAATTATAGACAGACACTACTCCATCAATATAAATTAATTAAGTCTAATGATAATTTTTTGTGAAGAATTGCACTACTGAGTGCTTTGAGTATGTTAAATAAATAATTGACTCAAATATAATAATGTACCATCTTTACTTTTAGGGCATCAGTTTTCTTGATGTTAAAAACCAGCTTATGGTCAGTTATATGGCTAATCTGGGATTGCTGATGGATAAAAAAACCAGTGGCGAAAGTGTCAAGGATGATCCAAGCATTGATCGTCTCGTAGAAATCAGAACAGTAAGTAAGATATTAAACTGTGCCTTGAAAGTCTAAATGGAATTAATGACATTTATTGTACAGCAATATAAATGGAGTTGCCTACCATTTGAATGGAATACCATTTGATTTTTTAATAGCTTTTTTTTTTTGTTGCATTGTAAAGTATGATATTTTAATTCTCAGTGATTTTTTATTTAAACAGGTATTGGAGAAGATGCGACCAATAGAGCACAAACTAAAATATCAAATTAACAAAGTTGTGACAGCATATAAGGAATGCAAAATAGGTGATGGTTTTCTGCTTATAATTTTGTTCATTCAAATAAAATTATCATGTGCTTTTTTTGTTTGTTCTTGTTATTTCATTTTTGGACTCTTGGCCTTGGACTCAACATTTAGAAGTAATTAATTTTTTAAACATACACAAAATATATTTTGTGAAATTATTTTGTTAAGAAAAATACATTTCTGCTACTAGATCCATCTGATCCAAGAAAATTCAAGGCAAATTTTGCAGCCTTTACTAATATGGTAAGTAATGATAAATAAAATGGTTTGTTATAGAAAATAAATACATTCTTTCAATTGAAAATGTCATGGGAATAAACGTACTTGAATAGTTTTCATATAAAGCACCTAAAAATCTTAGATCTGGATTGAATGTGAGTCTACACCATATTTGTCAGATTTGACATTTTACAACCAGTATTACAAGAGGACTGCATTATATCAAAGCTGCTACCAGTATCTTATCTAACTATATATTTGTGTAATATAATCATTTTTTTTAGCCACAAGACACACCTAGTGATCAAGAAGAGACAGTTGAACAGGACAGTGCTGGAAATAAGTCCAAAGTTTATGTTGCTCCAAAGTTGGCCCCTGTTCACTATTGTAAGTTTTACCAAAAATTTTGTTTTTTCGGAATTATTTACCAGACAAAAGTGTATTACATAATATAACCAATTAGCCCTCATGATAGAAATAAATTTAAATTGTTTTCTCCTCTTTAATGTTCATTGTATAGGCCAAATTTGTACAGTATTGTTTGTTTGATTTTGTTATAAATCAATATGGTGTACTGTCTTATATTATTGTTCACTGTCATACTTTTTTCATTAATAGCGGATGATGAAACGGCTGAAGAACGTCAAAATAAACAAACTGAAAAGAAAAGGAAGCGAGCCATAAGCTCAGCTATGTTAAGGGAAATGAGAGAACAGTACACAGATGCACCAATTGAGATAATCGTAAGTTTCTTTCAATAGGCATGAGGTGGCAATAATAACAAAATGTTCTTTCAGTATTTGCAGAGTACATAAATGTCTAGTCCATTTTCCCTGGTCATTTTGAAGAGAGGATTCATTTTAAAAAAAGCCCGTCATGTACCATACAAATAAATGTATTGCTTTTTCTCTCTCTCTCTCTTTAATGAGAAAGGAGATTTTCTCAATGGAAAGGTTTGAAAACTTTTGTTCAATTTTAAGTACAAGACAATTTCAGTTTGTATATTTAAAAAAATGGAAAATAAATCCTGGTTTGATAAATTCCCTTAAATAGTGTGAAAATAAGTTATTAATGAATTTCATTTAAGTTTGTATGAAAGAGACTTTTTTTTTGGAAACACAGTTTTTGCATTTAAGTAGCGGTAAATAAAATTGAAAATGTAATCCCATTTCTATTGTTTCCACCAGGAATCTCATGACATTCACCGCATTACTGAAAACAGAAAAATGAAAGAAAAAACAGAGTGAGTTTAAAGCTAGCACTGCCGGATACACTTTACTTGAAACATTCTAATTTATTTGAAAGAGTTTCCAATTAAATTTTCACTTGATGAATATTCTAGACTAAAATTTGATTTTAAAAAATCATGCTTCTGCTTTACAGTTAAAAACAATAAAGATGAACATACAAAAAATGGAATAATAATAGAATAATAAGCTGAAACTTCTTATAAGTGTGTTTTCATATATAATTATTACATTTGGAAATCCATGCAGCTAAAACACTTTTCCGACGTATTGAGTTGTTATCAAGCTTTCACATATAGCTGGCTTCATATTTCCTTATTCTACAACCTGATTTTAATCTCCCCCATATTTTTCTTAAATGCAGAATATATTTTTTAAAGGAACAGCGCTTCTGAAGATGTACACTACGTAATGACATAATTGTAATATTTAATCATTGCTTTTTTTTAAATTTTAGATATGAAGAAAATAACTTTGTAAGATTGACAGTTTCCAAGAAAGATATGGTAAAGATATTTCTATTTTGTTTATTTGTGATAAATATATGACAAAGTACTTAGTACACATATCATAAACAAATACATTGCTGAATGTGCAAAATATTATTTGTATTTTTTTTGACTTAATTATGATACTAAATAAATTGAAGATACTGCAATGCACTGGTGCTTCTACAACAATTAACCATAAACTCTTGTCCTTAATATTCAGGCTGGCAGTAGAAAAATGGGTACCATGTCAGCTCTTGGTGCTTTAGCAGACTTCGATGACTTTGACGGAGAAGGGGAAAGAAAGAAGGTAAATCCTGTGAAAAGCATTGGCTGTTACCGTTTTTAATTATATATATTTGTCTGGACTAAAGTTTATTGTCTATGACATTTTATTTTTGTTAAGTTTGTTTTGGAAAATAGCATAAATAAAACATGAATTGTTCAGTGCACAATTTATGATAATTTAGTTTGTATCATTTTGACTTCTTATAAGTTATAAGACACAAGTGTTCATTTCAAGTCTCATTTCATGATTATGCATGACTTTTCTCATTATCTGCTAAACAAAATTAGTAACATCCTTATGTATATATTCCATTTGCTTTTTCAGGGTGGTCCAGCTATGAAAAAGAGGAAAGTCACACATAAAGTAAGAATCAGTTGTATAGTTGTTGTTTTTTTAATGTTTTAAATAAAATTAAATTGGTTTCCTTAATGTTAATTAATACAAATACAATACATATTTTCACCTTCATAGAGATTCTTTCTCTCTTCATAAAACAATTTAATTATAATTTAATGGTACTAAATGGAAATTTTGAGGCTTCTATTCTTTCATCAGGGCCATGTACTATATTAAAATTGAAGTTTGTTTCGCCCCCTTTACCATATTGCTTAAAAGGAATGGTGCAGCACTATGGTGGAGCTGAATATTCATTTGATAAATCTATAATTTATTTGGACCTCACCAAAAATCAGTCTAGGAAACTATGTTCTTATTTCTTTTGTTTATGTGAGATATATTGTTATAAATGAACATATTTCAAGATGTATAATGAAGTTAAATATTTATGACAAATAGATTTTAATGTAAATTACAATTTATGAAGGATGTGCATCTCTGTGTTATGAATTCAATTTTAATGATTCTTTAGCAACCATTCAAAATTGAAGTGATTCCTTATCAATATACATTTTGGCACAAGCAAAATTTCATTCTGTAAACTCCGGCCTAATTCAAAAGCTTATGACAATTAGTTAGAAAAAAACAATGGTCTTTACCTTCAAATCCCACTGATTTTGTTATTTAAATTCAATTATTCACAGAAGCAGAAAGGAAAAAGGTTTAATAAAAAGGGTAAGTTACTGTAAATCAAATTGTGTTTGTATTCAGTTAATTGAACAATCTAGTCTAAAAGTAGTAAAAGATTGTTCATTAACTTAAAATCTAAATATTTTAATAAGTTTATAAGCAAAGAGTAACATTATCCATAAATATAATCCTCCAACCTTGTAGCATCTGTTTTGCTTAAGGTAAAACATTACTCTTTTTTCACAGGTGGCAAGAAAAGAAGGAAATAATTATATTATTAGAATGCTGTGATTTCCACAATAAAACTATTTAAAAAATTGCCTATCTTGTTTGTCTCACTGACTCTGTGTGGCCTTCTGTTTATTTCAAAATGGCCGATAGACAAAATATTTCAATTGAAATATTCATTTTTAACTGAAATAACTGGGTTTAAAAATTTTCAAATTCTCTAAAAACTTTTAATATTTATATTTTGTAAAATGCAATGTAGATAGTGTATGTAATCATTTAATCATAAATAGAACCTTGCTAGTTAATCTGTTATACAAGAAAAGTGTAAAAAAAAAAAAAGATATAACAACACAAAGTTTCACTATGATGTATTTTATTAGTTACTGGTTCGTGGACAGCAACTATTTTCTATGTACAATTAAACACACACATATTTCAAACATTGGTAATGAACAACTCCATCTTGAATTGATGGTCAATACATATATCAACAAATTTACAAATAAATCTGGATTTTTATAGCTTATGCTATATATTAACTATGTACACTGTGGTTATTAATGCATGTATAATTCTGAAAACTATAAAGTTTAATATAAATGGGTAGCATGTCAAAGCTATACTAGATGTGAAATTTCTTTTTTACCTGAAATCAGTTGTGCTGGATTTAAATTTCCTTTTATTTTCAAAAAGACAGTATTTTGTGGTTTAACACTTAGTTCTCTGGATTAGTGTTGTCCTTAGTTAAGTAGTTTACTGATCTCAACTGATTACTCTTATGAAGGCACATAATTATTTTCTTACACTAAATTTTCAGCTGTATTTTTTAATGTAAAAATTAGAAAAGGCTGAGTAATGGAGATGTTATTCATCTGTGGGGGTTGGGTTGTGGGGGGAGGGGTTGTTGTCACAATGACCTTTTAATGGGTTTTGGTAGTTTACAAAACATAACTTCAATTTCATGTGTACCCTGCATGTTTATCTACGTTTACCAGTGTAGCATGAAACATGAAGCTATTAAAGTCTTCATTATGTTTTTTCAAAATGTTTAAAGACCTCAGGTGGACTCAGTCTGTATACCTTAATTTAAATATCTTCATCAGCAAGTTGAAGCATTTTAATTCTATATCTTTGTTGACATGAAGCCAAATGAATTTCACAAGGGGTATCTAAGTTGGTACAGTGGTTAAACAAAAAAAACTTTGAAGCAACTTATCTCACTGCTATAAGGGCGTTGGTGATTTAACTTATTGCTGTGATTCTTCTCTTTCCAGATTCTAAAATCTTGTTAGGTTAGTTATGTGCTGTCCAGTTTTAGATAGAAGATGGACTAGTGGGTCACAAATTTTGGGATTAAGGTACCAGCCTCAAAATAAAAATTTAAAAAAAAGAGACAAATATGTTGTATTTAACACCTTGGTATATGAAAAACTTTGAATTTAAAGTTCACACAAATTATGTTGTACAGTAAATTAGTAAACACGAATCAGGTAAATGTGAATCATGGCTTATGTCCAAAATTGTCTCATTTCACTTTCCAATTTGTCCCATTAAAATATTTTCTTTCTGGATTAGTATAAGTAAAAGAAATTTTACAATTTTATTTTCCTGGCATATAATAAGTGTGTCAATAAACAACTAATGATCCTTGGGATATAAATTTGCACAAGGCGGGGGTAGTCCAAAATAGGTGAATGTTTTTATTAATACAAATTTAATAGCCGAACAGTCAAGTCAATAAAATATGTAGTCCATTAAGGCCCACTTCTGTCAAAAGTTTGTGAGTGTGCCGCCATTGATCAAATTATATTTGTTATAATATAGTTTAAAGAAAGAATGAGTAGAACAAGTTTTAGGATCAAATCAAGCTTTAAATTGTTCAATGGAATTTACAGCTAACACATCCAGGACTAATTAAAAAAGGGAAACTAATAATGAACTTCAACTGAAAATTATTTGAATAGTCTTAACAATATCATATAGCAGCAATTGTACTGTCAATGACAGAATGATCGGCTTTAACAAATATAAACAAAACTCAGAAAAATAACAAAATCACAACATTTCAAACTCAAGTTTGTTTGGTTGTCAACAATGGGAAAGAAAAATATAATAAAATGAAATATTTGTATACAATAGTACACCTTCAATACATCTGTACAATTTATTGGTCATTATTTTTTTATTATTATAATTTTTTTTAATAAATTTTTTGTTCTATATTTTTTTAATTCAAATTTTATTTTTGTTAAAGACTGTACATTTTAGATTACACATCATATAAATCTGGGATTGGGTCATTTTTAAAAATTTCAACATTGAATCTCTATAAATTAAAAATTTGATCAATAGTGTACTGAAGTGAAAAGAATAATGAATGAAAAATATTAAATGATTTAGCGAATTTCATCACAAAATAAATGTGTTGTCCTATGTGTTCACTGGCTTAAACTTAAAAGATAAACTGAAAAAGCAAAACAATACTTTTATCACTATTTCAAAGGGAAACTTATTGCCGTACTGAAATCCATGTTTAAAATGTTGGCTTCACAAAGATTTGGAGCCCTTTAAATAATGTTGATAACTGTACAAACTGCAATCTTCTTATCTAGAGGAAATCTCAACAAACCTTTATGATCAGGCCAACTGGACAATTTTTATAATGTATTTCAACATATTCTATTAAAATAATTGACAGGGTTCTTTGAGAAGAATCAGCAGTAATGAGCATTGCTTATATTTTTACCTCCATATTTAACATAATTCTGTATTCATTATTTGTTTATATTGCCGTGGCTGAAACATAAAACAAAGTAAAAGAATATACAATTACTGCCAGAAGATGACGATATACTTTTCAAAGATGCACGCGGCATGGTGGATGAATAATGTCAGATAAAGTTCGTATTCTGCACCTCACTCCATGTTACATGAATAAGTGGTTCTGTGGGGGAGTTTAAGTGTCAGCTGAAACAATCGTTTTTCCCTGTTCATAAACTCATGATCAGATGAAGCTGGCATCCCCTTTTTTCACAATGTCAACAGTTTTACTTGAAGTGCAGGTGAAGTATAGTGACTTAGATTATTGTAAAATTATACCAAACAAACTATATCCAGAACATACAATTGAATTTTATTTAAAAATGACAATATTTTTTTCCTGCAATTTTACTTTAAATATTTTTTTCCTGAAATTTTACTTTAAATATTTTTTTCCTAAAATTTTACTTTAAATATTTTTTCCTGAAATTTTACTTTGAATATTTTTCAGATTTTGATTAAATGTTCCCCCTTAAAAATATATATTGGTATACCGGTATTTCAAGAAAACAATATATATATACCCGGTATATATATATATATTTTTTTTAAACTTGAAATGCAAGTGATGTTTATTTTATTATTTTAGTTTAGCTTATTATCAAAATATACCAAACACACTATCTTTAGAAAATACAATTTCATACAAGGAAATGAAGATTTAATTTAATTTTCAAATGACAATTTTTTTTTCTGAAGTTATAATATAAAATATATCATTTTAGGTTTTTGATGAAATGTTCGCCCTTAAAAATAAATCTGTATCACAAACAGATAAATTTTCTGTTCATTCGTTCACAACTCTGAGGTTCAACTTGTGTAATTAAAAAAAAAACATACAACAATGAAATCTAAAAGGAACCAGCTTTGTTAATACAGCAGCACCTCACAATAACGGCAACTCGCCTCATGGCGTTTCACTATTATAACGGCGCTCTTAAATCTCCGTCCTCATTACTCCCTACTACTAACTGTTGTGCTGTTGTTTGTAAATTCAGGTGATGAAAATAGGCCAATATCCATTGCATGGTCGGATGAAGAAGTTGCATCCTCAAAAAAAAAATACTTGAATTTAAAATTTTCTATTTCTTTTCCAGTTGTAAATCACGTACTGTACATATTAAGTATTAATTTAAAGTAAACATTGTGCAAGTCCCTTTCTATTATTGCTTTATATTCGGTGTTATTGCACACTTGATGTATTTTAGTACATAGTACGTAGTTTAGCGTGCAGGCACTCGTGAGGCACAAAAAAGCCTTAATTCACTTACTGGTGTTTTCCACTTAACAGAAAGGATTTGATCCTAATTACACCATTGCTGCAAGTACTGCTGTATCATGGTGTGACAAAGACAGGCTTGTCTGTTCTATGTTCTTAATGACACTGTCAATGATAGCTCTTTTATTCAGAAAACATGGTCGCTAACAAATCCAGTTAGTGCTACATCAAGATTTGTTTGGATTATTGCCCAAGAATGTATGTACATCTCATGTACAGAGGCGAGTTCAAAAGTTTTAATGTTTGTAACTATTAGGAAAGTTCATTAACGATGGTGTGCATGGGAAATGTGGTTTATTTAACAGAATGGGAAAATGGGTGGATAAACAAAAATTCTTGAGTGTGAAAAAAGAAAAAGATGGTGAACTACTATACAAATAAAGATGAAACAGGTTTGGAGAAAACTTCAAAATAAATAAAAATATACATTTTGGAATGAAGTCGATGCTTATAGAAAAAGACATTTTAGAGGTGAAAAAAAAAATGTTTAGAGTATTTGGAATTGAATATAAATAATGATTTAGAATGTTGGCTAGAACTGAGAGAAAATTTTATTTCAAATATCTTTGGATCGTACAAGCATGCAGTCAAAGGGTAATGGTAATGTTATGATTTCATCAGAATATTTTATCCTAATATATTGTAAAAGATACAATCACTGCAAAGTAAACCTTTATGACTATCAGATTGTTGGATTTTTTCCATTAATGTTGAGCTAAGCCAGTGGAATATTTTCTTATAGAACATAAAATACAGATTCAGTTTGAGTGTAAATAAATTACTTACCATATAATAGAATTATTTTGGTTTTGAAATAAAATGATGATATAATTTGCTTAAAAGTCAGTGTCAGTTTATCAAAGGATATTTCACTGATATAAAAATCTTAACATAGGTAAACTACACACAGTAACAAATAAATAGTGTGGAGTTTAAAAAATATGGAATGGAGACAGGTCTGGTCAAATTCTAAACAAAACTAACA